GTAATAGAAGTAAACGCTTGAACCTACATCAGTGGAATTCTTAAGCAAGGACATACTTGAGTATTTGGGCTTGTAAGACAAAATAGAGAAGCATGCATTAAGCTTGTTAACAACAACAAAAATCACAGCTTGTGCTATAAATATATTACAATACTTAAAAATGTGTCACATCTAAGGGTATTTGCATTTTTTAAGTTGTACAGAAAGGGGAAAGAAAAAAAGCAAGAATTGTTATCTAAAACGAATTCAAAAGGGTTATTCCAAAGAATCCCAAATTCCTAGAATGTCCTAATAAGGACAAAACAGAAAAAGTCAAATATGTGTTGTACCTCTCCTCAGAAACAGTTGACTCAGAAACAATACTTGAAGGAGAATAACTTATTTTAACAGGTCTTCTAAAGCTTCTAGATTTCCTAGAATAAAACAGTTTTCACTAACTGCCATATCTTGACAATTTAACAGACCAAACACTACAGAAGCATCATACTCTTAACATCCAAAGCGCCAGAGATTTCTAGATTACCCTGCAACCTGAAGAAAAATTAGAGTTTTGGTTTTTGTTGTTTTTTTTTAATTAGTACTCCTGGGGAACATTACCTAAACGATTGACAACATATCGTCCTAGGAAACCTGTAGCCCCAAAGACAGTGGCCACAATGCCACTAACAGATGATCGTCCACTTCTTCCACGAGGGATCAACGCATGATGAACTTGGCGGTTCTGCTGTAACACAGATGGTGCTGCAGCTAGCACAGAAATGCCAGGGCCTACAACATAAAACAGAAGAGAGCATGTGACATAAGCTAAAAGGTAGCAGCGTCAAACTACAGTTAATGTTATTTTTCTTGTTACAGATCCATTTTCTCTAATCTCCCTCAGCAAAATTTCCCACGTCAAGACTCCTGAGAGGCTATTTCAGAGGCATCTGGATAGGTCAGAGGACAGCAGCCTTGAGGGAGCTGTTGATAAAGACCAAACTAAGATATGAAAGGAGCAGACTAAGGCTACTGGTTCCTAAACACCAAATAAAGCTTTACTAGCTAGCATTAGCACTTGATGTACAAGGGGAAGCACAGAGGTTAAGCAAATGAAGAATATTTGCTACAGGCAGGTCCCACCCAAGTACATCCACACCCTACTCCCAGATCTCAGAACTGAAAGAAAAAAAACTCAGAATCACTCCAGATGCAGTTAACCAGACTTTTCACCTCAGTCTAAATATATCAGACCCAAATGCTGAAAGAAGCAGTAACCCTCCTATATCATAGCTCTAAGTGAAGGGAAATGAAGAGAAATTAAGAGATTCGAAGAGACAGATTCATGATGCAAAGAGTACTGCCTTAAAGCTCTTCCTTTTCTCAAGCTATGAAAACTTGAAAGCCATGAAAATATGACATCACTAGAATATTCACAAAAATTGACAAGGTTGCTCCAATAGGGATTTTGAAACGGAGAAACATATGTCCTCTCCAACCATGTTAGCTAAAAGCAAGAAACAAACTGCTTGTAAAAGATTTCAGAAATTAGAAGTGTTTTAGTGTAATTACATGTGCATGCTCACAGGAAGAAAGGAATAGATGAAATACAGAGTGCATGAACACACTATAGACATCTGACTGTTGACAAGAGCAGGTTGTAACAGTTGTCATTGGAAAACGAGTCTGAGAATATAATAGAAAATTAAGTAACTGACCTTCCAACTCCTAGTAAGTCATGGTCATAAGCATATTTGGAGAAAGATAAGCAAGTTTAATCTCACAGAAATCCAAGTGGCAAGAATCGTAATGAAAACAAGACTAGTGTTTGATATCAGAATGACAGATGCATTAAGGAACAAACCAAAATCCCACCTGTATGCTGAAGGGGTATGTTTTATTCCAATATGGTTAGGTGTTACCAGTTGCACTGTGGCACTGGTGTAGCCATGATGAAAAGGACCAGTGATGTTTGAACATAAATTACAGTTCATTAGATCAGCTGATATAATTCAAACCAGAAAATTCAGCAAGATTCAACACCTGCAGGAAATGCAGGAAATGCAGGAAATTCAACACCTCCTTCAGTGCCTGAAGGAGGTGTTTCTCCATCTAAAAGTCTATCCCTCTTCTCTCTATAACTCACAAATTAGAATAATAAAAGAAACCACATCCCAATTTTGACACTCGCTTAACTAGAGCAATCATAAATATTGTACTTACCAAATTAATATACTATGCCTAGAAAATATACTCCAATATTACCAATACAAACTTCAAGTACGTATATGACTCCCTAAAAACACTTCCTACAAAACAGAGCTAAGCTCAGGAACAGTTAAACTGGGCAAGGTATACGTCTTAAAAGTGGCAGATATGCAGGTCCTATCCATTACTGAAGCAGAGACCTTGAGATTAACTATGAGAAGAAAAAAAAAAAAAAAAGCAAAATATACACCATGATAAGCACCCACTAAGAAAAAAAAAAATTAAATCACACCATTTGTCAAAGATGTGCTGGAGTCTAAAAGAAGTACACACTCTGTGGCATCCAATTAACATCTGAAAACCTAACATGCAGTTTTAAAAGTGACACAATATGTTCATATTAAACTTTACAATACCTCAAAGTGAAATTTTAAGGAGCGTGCCAACTCATCACTGCCACACTGACCACGCATCTTCATGTTCTGCTTTATCTATATCATCATCTATCATTAATTTAACACTGCCCTCAAAAATCCTTGTGTATAATTCTGAGGACTTGCAGTGAAGGTGAAGCAGTCATTTCACTGGATTTCCAATATGTTAAAACATGTTAAAACACATTATCACACTGTGCTATGTAATCTGACACAGGCTACAAAAACATACAGCCCATAACCTAGGTTTTCACTAGTTCAAAACTCCTGGAGAGTTGCTTTTTTATTTTTTTAAATGACAACAACAGAAACGCATGCAAGTGAAATCACTAGTGTATACTGAATACTCTGTACAGAATAAAGCTTGTAGCTATGTAAGAGGTACATGGATAGTGAAGATTAACCAAGCTCAGTACAAGCGCAAGCATAAAGGATAATACTGAGGGAGACAGTCGAATGGTCTTGTTACCTTCATTCTTGCAGTGTTCTAACAACTAGGATTTTGCTATCTTTTTAGGAAAAGCAGACTCCTGGAAAAATGACTCTGTTCTTTATAGCCACCATCAGCATTCCTTCAAGTATGCAAAAAGCTACATGGTATGCTGAGATACTGAAGAAACGAGTTTGATGACCCATACTCCTCAGTACTTTGTTTACATATACTTCTCTTTCTAAAGGTTTGTAAAAAAAATAAAAAATAAATTGCACAATATTGATATCAACATTTATATTTACAGAATTAACACTATCCCTGTTGCTTCTAAATACGAACACATTTCAGTCCTTACAATATAAAACCTAAAAGCAACAAGATTTCAGTCCACTGTGAATACCTGTTGAAAAACGCATTATTAAACAAATCAGCCCACATGAGAATGATTAGAAAGTTAATCTGAAAAAACTTTTAACGTCTTTCAACTATTTTTCAGTTTCTTTGCTGTTATTTCTGCAAAATAATATTGATGATTGGCTCTTCATGATGCTATCACTGCCACACTAACAAATAACACCCAATTAGTTTTGTATTCTCCCACTTCTTTGCATATACCTGTTGTTGTCTGCTTTATACTGTAAGACCTTTAATGGTATACACCTCTTCTTGTTCCAAAACTGTACAAGATCTGTCACAAATTGACACAATATATGGCAACGTGCCAAATGACTACTATTTTATATAAAAAAATAGGTTTAAGGGTATCTATGAGACTCATCGAGATCTTCACACTGATTCGTGAGTAAAGGACGTTCCACATGGTGTGGAGGCCTATCAAAATGCACATTGAGTAACTCAAGGCTTAACACAGCGATACAGGTTTCACAGCCCATACTGACACCTCCAGACTGAGCAGCACCACTTAAAGCTCTGTGCTCCTGTACAACACAGACTTGTACCAGGATTCTCTCCCAAAATAGTAGAGTAGAATTTCTTCACAAAACAGAATCTGTTTGTCACTGAAAGTTTACTTTTACAATCCATATTTGAAGCTTATGAACACTCGCTTGAATTAAATCTCAAATATCCACAGTAAACCAGAAAAAACCTTTTTCTTGAAAAGACACATCTCTCCAATCTAAAGTATGTTAAAGTCCTTCCTCACCTTTATCAACATACAAAACCTGTTTGCCATCTCCCACTTCATTCAACAGAGGAGGACGTGCTGAATCAATTTAACTAAAAATCATAGAATCACAGACTGGTTTGGGTTGGAAAGGACCTTAAGACCATCAAGTTCCAACCCCCTGCCATGGGCAGGGACACCTCACCCTAAACCATGTCACACAAGGCTCTGTCCAACCTTGCCTTGAACACTGCCAGGGATAGCGCATTCACTACTTTGGGCAACCTGTTCCAGTGCCTCAGCACGCCCACAGGGAAGTTCTGTTTTGGCATCAAAGGCCAAAATACAAGATTTAATATAAGTCTGGTTACTTGAGCATGCTTACAGACCATGGCTAAAACGTCAAGGTCACCTAAAAAATCGTAAAAGGAACTTACACTTTTAACCAATGGGGCATTTGCTGAAATTTAACAGTTCCGATGACACAACTTACTGTACAGCTTACACTGTACAGCTTGAGCCAATCCTACCTTTGGGCTGTAAACCCCAGCTCCCTAAAGAGAAGGAAGGCAGAAACCTGACCTCTCTGCCGCAAACAGTTGTATCAGCCAGCTGCCTTTCAGACGCTGCCCTGTGAGCTCCTCGCCCCGCTCTACACCGAGAGCAGAGGTGTAGAGCGAGCAGGCGCCTGGCGTCGTGACACCCAGGCACGGAGGGCAAGAGCAGCCTACCCCCGGCACAAGCCCACGGCAGCGGTGACACTCACCTGCCCTTGGCAACAAGAGGCCGCGGGGAGACCAAGCGCAACGCGACACGGCCGCCATCTTGGTTTACCCACCTCCCCTCACGCCGGACGGCACACGGATAGGGACAAACCTCACCAGCGCGCCTGCAGGTCTCTGGGAGGCGGGAGTGCGCCTGCGCGGGCACGCCCGCCACAGCGCCCGTGTGTGTGGCAGGGGTGCGCTCGGGTTTCCTTCTGAGGCGGGCACGCTAGGTCGTCTGCAGGCCCCGCTCAGCAGGGTTCCGGTCAGCCGAGTGCTGGGCCCGGCCCGTCAGGGACTGGGTGGGTTGCTCGGGGGCGGGATGTGGTGTGGTGAGTGTAGTGTGGGCCTGGCTGGGGAGGGATGCTTGACTTAGAGTGCTCTGGAGGGTGGGATGGAAGCACTCGAGAGAGGGATTTCGGGGGAGGATGACCCCCAACGCATGCAGGTGCATTTGAAGCCACCAGAGTGAAATACTGATTAATGTCTAGGGGAACTGCTGTTTCACAGCTCCTTTTGCCTCCTGATTGCCCGTCTGAGTGGGAAACGAGCCAAGCCCTACAATTAAATGACAGTAACTTTGGCTACTACTGAGCTGCGCTGATTGAAAACGTTTCCAGTAACTTGTGCCTTGATTTACCTGACCTCATTAAATTTGCCCTAAGGAGGGATTAAACAATTTTACGATTACAGCCACACAACCACTCTAGACCAACTCCCCCTGTCATCCTGGGTCTCCAACGTTTCACTGGGACTTCCTCCCTGAAGCGAGTGTTGCTGTTAGTGTTGCATCGTGCTCACACACAGGGCACTCTAAATCTGCCACTTGCACTATTATAGACTTGTTTTTGTCATGGGTTCCCATTACTTTTTGGTCTGCATGGAATACAAGTGGCCATTCCTTTGTAACCTGGCTTGCTCCATTGTGGCTGGTACTCATATTCACCAAAAAGTTTTTAAAACGTCAGCATGGTAAAAGGCAGAACAGTCAGGGAAGATTTCTGGCAATTTGAACAGATGCCAAAATATGCTATTCTAACTCCTGACACAAATACAAGTGGCAGTTCTGCCAGAGCTGTGGCTCAGCAGGCGATCTGGGGTTTGGGGCAAAAGTCCAGGTGCTTTGTAAACTCTGACCATCCCCAGTTCTCAGCCCCAACACACTTTTAGCGTGCAAGCCAGATGCACACCAAAGCAAACATCTCTTTTTGCTGGTGGCTGCGAACCACAGCAGCAGGCCCCCTCTCTCCCACCCCCAAACTACCTACCCACACTTTCTACCTTCGTCATGTCATGCCTGATGGTCTCACCACAGCTTTTCTGAGCAGCCCAGGCTGCCTCAGCACCTTCAGGGAGTCCAGTTTGTATGGCTGTACTTAGATACAGTACTAAAAAGCTGATAGCACGCAGCTATGTGAATTTGGCTACCAATTCCTGCATCTCACTCACGCATCTTGATCCAAGTCAGAGCCTATTGCTGTGGGGTCTTGACCCTTAATTGTTCTCTACAGTGGCATAAATGTCCATGGAAAGTGCTTTTATAGCAAATTCTAAGCTTGGACTAGAAGGAGAAGGATGAATAAGGCAAAGGACCATAAATTAGGAGATGTGTCTTCTATGCTTGTCACCCACTGATGAACCAGAGCTCTGTGGCTTCCACTCTCCATTTCTAAAATAATATTTTCCTATTTCAGCAGTGCTATTGTAGGGATAAGATGTGCTAGTTGACCAGAGATGCTTATGTCTTATGGTGATGTAATCATAAAAAACCCCAGTAAGATAATGGACGCATCCAACTTGTTACAGCTCCAATTACAAGTTAACTGGGTTAAATGTGCAATATACAGGGAGCTGAATTTGATTTGGAACAATTTGGAACATCATATTGCTGATTAAGGACTATCTCACTGTATTTGAATCCCAGGGAAGTTAGAGCCAAACGTCTAAAAGCAGCCTCAGGGCTAATGATCACCTAAAATGTGTGAGGATTTATTAAGAGTCCTGTGCTGAGTGTTTCTGGCATCTCTCACATCTCCCACATCCAGGAAGGGCAAGCTTAGTTACAAATGCTGACTTTAAGGACTGGCAGGTATGAATGGCGTGCCGCAGTTTCCACACAATCCTGCCTGTACCCTTGGTCTCCTTGCGGCCTTACTGTTGTGGAAATATTGATGTCACTCTGCTTTCTGGCTGAAGCAAGATAAGTAGGAGACCAAAGAGCCTGTCTGGTGGGAACAACTCAAATAACCCATCCATTGAGAACTCTCTGGGCCCAACAAACACACTGGTGCTGCTGAGATAGCAGAGTCCAGTCGATTCTTCAGATGATTCAGTGCGTGTACAGGATAGTGAGTTCATGCCTGGAAGACCCCATTTGCTGTCTGGTTTCACCATCCTTTGAATTCATCTGGCTGTTTCAGAGGTTTAAGAAACGTCTCTAGACTGTTTGGTTCTGAAACTTTGCTCGCCATAGTCTCCTTTGTAATGTGGCTTCTTCAAGAGGTGTGTGAGGGTACAGCAGATACTCTTCTTCCTCTGAAAATGTCTTCCGCTGCGTTTCTCTGCCGAAGTGTTTGGGTGGCTTAGGCCAGCAGCCAGGAGGGGTGCAGGGTGGAAGGCAGGAAGTAGCTTTGCTCTGTACATGCAGTATTGCATCTACTTCATCATACCTTGCATCTGTTTCATTTGCTAACTCCTGAGCAGTGTTTGGTTTGTAAAATATTAGGTAATTTCCCCAAGGTGTTAGCTTCTCATGCTGCAATTGAGGCACCCCATAAATCAGAATGAAAGCCATTTCTAAGCAGAGGAAAACAGACATATGCTGCTGAGATCTCTGCATAATAGGCTGTTTCCTGTGATGCTGCTTATGAATTTGACTTAGATGAAGCTAGACTATATACTGTAGATGGCAGAAGGGGATCACAGAATTGCTGGTGGATCAAGCACAGAGTTAGCCCTCAGGAGACAAAGGGCATGTTCCCAGTTTTGCTGCTCTTCTACTCCATGACATTGGGAAGGCACATCACACTGTCACACCTCAGCTTCCCCACCCATAAAGTGGAATAAATATGCCTGCTTTGTGAAACACTTACTTAGAAATATACTAATGGAAAGCACTATGTTAGAATAAAGTACTGATAATACTGGTTAACTTTGTTTCTTAGAGGTAGCATATTTTTATATATAGCCCAAGCTTCCTCTGAATTTATAGAATGATGTATATAACATAGATTATATATATTATATATAATAGAGTTTATATAGAATCATAACTTTTATAAAACCCATTGTGTTTGGGTTTTTTTGTTTCTGAGTTATTGTTTTCTTTATCTGATATTGTTTTCTTTATGCTTCTAATAATGGTATCCTAAGTTATTCCAGCCTCCCTACAAATTGTCTTTCTCATAGTGTACAGCAATAGCTAACTTTGGGAAGAACAGATGTGACCATGTCGTGTTAAGACCTACATAAACAAAATATTTTAATGTTGACAATAGGTAAACTAAAAGCTACAGTGGGTTAAATTCAGCCTCAGTTGAAATTGATGTTAAACCTACATGTGGAGCCTGTGGGACAGACATGTCATAAGAAGAAGAAGGTGAGGGCACACAGCAACCACATCTTCAGGAACTCATACCATGGTGCAGAGGGAACAGGGGGTGCTTACAGCATAGTTATGTCACCAGTGTGAATTTGTGGCTACTTTTTACTCCAGTGGTAACCCCAGGGAAAGCAGTGAGAACCTACTTCATTTGTCCTTCCAGTAAATCTTGGATGTAAGCTAATCCTTGCACTGTCCTGGATCCTACTCGGCACATCTGACCCAGTGTCAGAATCCAGTACTCCCTAGTTAGGTGCTTTTAGATATTCCACACTTGGTGGTGGGCGTAGTGAGGGTTGTTAATGTTTAATACCAGATATACTTACCTGAAATTATTTGACATTACATAGGGTTTTGATTAAGCAGAATGATATAGCAGAGTATGTAAATCAGAATGCAAATTACACTTTGCAGGCTATAGTAAGTGCAGTCGATAGTTGACTCACAATACAAACATATTTCTGGTCATGTGTCTCTGTAATATGCTCACTATCATGATCATAGAATCATAGAATAGTTAGGGTTGGAAAGGACCTTAAGATCATCTACTGCCAACCCCCCTGCCATGGGCAGGGACACCTCACACTAAAGCATGCCACTGAAGGCTTCGTCCAACCTGGCCTTGAACACTGGCAGGGATGGAGCATTCCAACCTCCTCTGGTGTGAGCGGGCATCCTCTGCTGCTGGGAAGTAATATGTGATTTGAGGCCATCTTAGGCACAGGACAAGAAAGACTGGTGAGAAGTCTCAGAAGTGACTAGCCCAGAACTGTTTCAAAGAGTTTCCTTATGTGTACACTCCTCATCCTGGTCTGGCTAAGGCAGGAAAGAAGACATTTGCACTCTTGTTTAATTCAGGGATGAGCAGTCCTACAGGGGTTGATTCACGCAGCTGATGTGTTATTCAACAGCCACCCTTGGGTCCCCTTTGTGTCAAGGGAAATTCAGGTTCCTGTGCAACAGGTCAGTTACCCCATGCATTCTTCCCTGAGCTTCATGAGCACACTGCCCTGGAGAGCAGGCCTCCCTTCAGAGGCTTTTTTCATTGTAGGGGCTCAGTGATCAGTCACACCCAGGATCTGTGACTGATTGCCTCAGTCATCAAAACGCATCTCTTTATGTTGTCTGTAATCCATAAATCTTAATTTACAGCAGCTCTTCCTCAGCCAGCACCAATTGCCTTATCTGGTGAGAGATTCACTTTCTAGATAGATTGGGGTAAATGAATCTTCCTTTACAGTTAGGTTCAATGACAGGAAGATATCCCTGAGGCTTCCAATTTATCCTCTTGCTGAACTGCACTGACAGAACTGTTATTCTTGGTCCCCTTTGCTTTTCAGCAAGGTAGGATGCTGAAGGTAAGCTGGGTGGAATTAATTTTTTTCTAATTTAAAATTACACAACTTGAAAATTAGTCATTTCCAAAGTAAAATTAATAAAAAGAATGACTGCTACTATATCTGGTCTTGAGGTTTCCATATCAGGATTTTGTAATCCAAGCTGTAAGCATTTTGTCCCACCTCTAGCAATATGGAGCACTCAAAGTAGGAAATAGTATGAGAAGATGATACAATGAAAAGGCAATCCAACTGTATGTCAAATTCACAAAATGCTTGATAGAAAACTCAAATACCCTTCATGGCTCCTTTTTGGTAATAATGGGTGTTTTTTTCTAACATTATATAAATGAAAAACATCCATGGGAAAGAGAAGAACTCTGCAGTTATCAACCTTTCTCTACTTCACTATATTGATAGCCAAGCCATTGCAATAGAATTAATTCAAATTCAAAAGCAATAGTGCTGCACACTAGAATTTCTGGGGCATTTTGCGGTATTTTTAAAAACTGAGATTTCATTAATTGCAATAGGACAGGACAGCTTGTGTTATGTGAATGCGTTCTCTTTCAAACATGGACATTTGCCAAAGTCCCCTTGGTAGACAGGCTCTCTGAAATCAACAGAAAACCTTCAAAACTGTAAAATTAACCATCTGCATAAAAGCTTGGAAGGATCTGGAGCATTTAAGGATCTGGAGCATTTAAAACTTCGGAGCCTGACTCTTTGGATAACGCTTGTCATATAATATATGTTCAGTGAATTATATTTTGTTTAATACTTTGCCATAAATGCAGTTGTTACAAGCTAGTTTATATAGGAAAAAAAAAAATCCTTTAAGATGAACATAGGATATTGGGACAAAGATATTTTACATAGCATGAAAGGACTGGCATTTGAATTAGGCATGCTACAAGAGGAAGAGTCTATCATAGAATCATAGAATAGTTAGGGTTGGAAAGGACCTTAAGATCATCAAGTTCCAGCCCCCCTGCCATGGGTAGGGACACCTCGCACTAAACCATATCGCCCAAGGCCTCGTCCAACCTGGCCTTGAACATTGCCAGGGATGGAGCATTCACAACCTCCCTGGGCAACCTATTCCAGTGCCTCACCACCCTAACAGGAAAGAATTTCCTCCTTATATCCAATCTAAACTTCCCCTGTTTAAGTTTTAACCCATTACCCCTTGTCCTACCACTACGGTCCCTAATGAAGAGTCCCTCCCCAGCATCCCTATAGCCCCCCTTCAGATACTGAAAGGCTGCTATGAGGTCTCCACGCAGCCTTCTCTTCTCCAGGCTGAACAGTCCCAACTTTCTCAGCCTGTCTTCATATGGGAGGTGCTCCAGTCCCTTCATCATTCTCGTGGCCCTTCTCTGGACTTGTTCCAACAGTTTCATGTCCTTTTTATGTTGAGGACACCAGAACTGCACACAATACTCCACGTGAGGTCTCATGAGAGCAGAATAAAGGGGCAGGATCACCTCCTTTGACCTGCTGGTCACACTCCTTTTGATGTAGCCCAGAATACGGTTGGCTTTCTGGGCTGCAAGCGCACACTTCCAGCTCATCATAAAATTTTACAACGTGGATGCTCTCACTGCAAATACTGATTTTCAGGCAGTACACATCAGAGCTACTGCTTATGCACCTGGGAAGGTAGGTAGATACCTCAGCATGCACAAGGCTAGACTTACGGACTACATTGCTTTAGCAAATTCATACCCACTGACTAAATGAGAGCCCAGTTAAACCCAGCAGATTATCTAAAATGTGACTTTTTAAGAAATGAAAACAAGAAGGAATTTAATAGGTTCTTGTTTTGCTCCATTTCTCTTTTTCACACTATTCAATTACTATTTCAGCAGCTAACAAGATTTTCCAAATACTAATAATATTGCTGCATTTGATATATGTGGTTCTCAAATGCATTGTGACAACCCCAGTAAAGATAAAAATTAGCAAAAGCAGAGTGCTAGTGTTGCCATCCACAAAGATATCTTGAAAACAATGTTTGTCCATTTAATAGTCTAATAATATATGCCTGCTTACAGAAGCTTTTTGTGGAAAAGCTGAGGAACATCACAATCTTCCAGCCTGTTACAGGCACAAAAATATAAGTTATTTCAAAAACTTCATTTAAATACAGCTCGTCTCCAGAAGAGTCAAGAGGCGTTTTCTGGAGCAAAGGCATTAAATTACAACTTTTTTCTCCATTAGAAATCTGTGTGTAATATACTTGCTTGCATGAATTTAAAAAAGTCAAGCTCAGGCTACAAAAGTTTCTTTTATTTTTGATACTTGTGTTTTCATTCAGATGAAGATTTTTGGAGCACCTTCCTTTACTCTGAAAAATCCCATTTTCAGTGTTTGAGTCTGTCCATAAATGCAAATAAAATATAAAGCCACCACATTACATTCTGGCTTTTCTCTAGTGAAAGATTGAAAACTTTGTATTTCCACAGTTCATGCCACAAACTCTTCTCTTTTTTTTCCATATACATGCCTTGCTTGGGTTTTTATTAACTCATTGATATCTAATAATATTGATTGGCTGCAGAGCCAGAGAGCTCTGTGACGTGGATCATTATATTCTTGGTGATAAGACAGGACAGAATTGGACAGTAAGAAACATGTTTCTTCTAATTATTTTGTAAATGCATCTGCAGGTAGAAAAAGCACCCAGGGAAGGAAGAAAGGGGTTTGTGTCTGGTTAAGTATTTTTAAGGAAGTTACACCTCTTCCTTCTTAAATTTGCTAATAGGAAGAGCACTCTGTGCTACAAAATACCAAATGTTTGTACAAGTGCAACACAACTTCAGATTCTTCTCACTGCTTAAATCTAGGACTGCTATCCCTTGAACGTAGGACTGTCGCTGATGCTTACATAACAGTAGTTACTGCTGCTTTGCAGTAAGTGATTTGTTGTCTAAATAAGGGAAAGCACAATTCTTCAGTGTCTTTTACTGTAAATTGGGTAAGCACATGCAGAGAACTGAGGCATAGAATTCCTCATCTTACATATATGTTTTCTTATCAGCCAAAGTAAATTGTTGCATACTTTTTCAGACCGTGTTCCTCGGTGCTAAATAACATTATCCTTGGCGTGCGTAAGCAAGGAGTATTTGAATTGAGGTTCAGTGTGTAAATTCAAACCAAGTAATTTTGAGTTAAAGCTAAGCCTGGGTAGGTTTAGACTAGCTCTTTCAAACCTGCTCAGCAAAGATGCTCTGGTTTCTTAGGGTAACTATAAAGGTTCATTTCCTGTATATGAGGACTTGGATGTCAACAGGAACTAGTTCTAGAAGCATATATAGTTCAGTCTGCATTCTCTGCATAATGATCTCTTCATAAATTCAGAATTTTGACTTAATATTCTTTGATACTAATATTAATCTCTTCAAATTCATGTAGCTGCATACCCTGAGTTTAACAGAATGTTTGGATTTTGTTTAATTTACAAATGCTAATTGATAGGGAAAACAAAAAGCAAAACTACATGTTGTGGGTTGTTTCCAATAGCTTTGAAGAGAAACCAGATATGGGATAACTGGAAAATCCCATTTCTAAGAATTCTAGAAATTAAAAAATAAAGAACAGGTGAGAGGAAAAATGGGTAGAAAGAAGAGGCCATGGACAAATAATGTTTTATCTACTGAAAGTTTTTCACTTGAACATGAAAACCAGTCCAAATCCAATGGAGCCAGAGGGCATAGAGGATGAAGCCACTGCTTGAAGGCAAGTGAGAGCTAGGAGAGGTTTCCTTTTATGCTGACAGACTCTCTAACCTTGCCACTGCAATGGCACATAAAGAGATTAATGAAAATCAAGATGACCCTGACCCATGTTTTGCTGTTCTTGGAAAGCCTAGTCATAAATCTGTTGGAGTGGGTACAAATAAAGATAAAAATAATCCATCAGCAAATGTTACCCATGTCAATACAAAAAAAACCCAAAACTAAATATGAAGAGAGTCCACCTTCCAAGATGACATATTTTTATAAAACAATAAACCAGTCTTCCAATAAAATTAACTTACCCAAAAGAGAAGGGTAGGACACCAGGAGAAGGAAAAAGCCATAACAGAAACATTTTGGCCAAGATGAATTTGCAAGTATTTTAAGCAAAGAGAACCTAATTTATGCAAACAATATGGTTTAAGTCATGGTGGTCTTAGTTATCAAAACCATGGAATGTCAGGCAAATGACTCAAATATCATTTGTATTATGCTGAAAACTTGTTACTGAAGGCCTCAGTTTCAGGCTTAATACACTCCTGTATGAAAAATGTATGTGACATAGCAGGAAAGCTTTTGACTAATTCCAGTTTTGTTTCATCAAAACAAAGCTAAATCGTTCATCTGAGGCAGTCATAAGGCTGCAATAACTGTAGAAGCCACATTGAATGATTTTCATTCTACCTTGATAGTGTAAAAACCTGGAGGAGATAACGTCTAGCATAGCTCTGTGAAGACAAGTTCAAGAACAGATACAAAGGCTCAGAATTGAGGTCTGCAGCAGCAAAGACTGAAATATTGCCAAAAGAAAAGGAAATTACCTGTATGGATGCAGTGGGTAACCACATTATTAAGCAAGGGTTGCCAAAATGTTGCCAAATTTATGGGCTTGATTGTGATTGTATTATTGTCCGTAGACTGTCATCTAATCTATCAGGAGAATGCCAACAAGAAAGCAACAGAAAGTGGCAATGCTAGCAACACAGGCCCCACTGCCTTTGGGTTGTTATTACAGTGGTGTCATGACCCCACCTTCCAAACATTTTTGGGAGTGAAGATCAATTGAGATGTGTTTTCAGTACACTATTATAGAGAGTCAGAGAGACTATAACAAAATAATGTTAAGGTCTGACTTAACGTAATACAAGTATGCCATAGTCCTCAGTTGTACACCTCCGAAAGATTGCTCTTTCAACAATAAATCTAGTCCAAGACACTACTGTAATAAAAATATACTGAAATAATGGAGCAAACTTAGAAGACAGAAAATTGATAATGGGCTACAAAATGTGATTTTTTTAATAATTAAATATATATATGTGGCTTACAAGATTTCATGTCAATAGACATATGATGTCTGCTTGTGCAAGAGATCTTGAAAAATTAAAGCAAGAAGGGAACTTCCTTACCAGTGTACTAGAAGGCATAACTAAAATAACAGGTAAAGGAAATGCCAGTAAGTAATCACAGCCCTTCATCAAGATTTATAACTGCATAATTCATAGCTGATTCTGGCCAATTATTTCTGCTACTTTTTAAGTACTTACATACCCAGCAGATATACATTAAGGTTACAAAGAAGGTCAGTGAACTGAGAACTCACTCATTTCTGTTTCTTGCAGCCTATTTGCGTTTTTGCCGAAGTTTGATCACGTTTGCACTAGCATTAAATCTGAAATGACTCTGTTGAGCTCAGTAAAAAAACTGACACTCTGTAACCTAAAGGGCTCTTGCCACAGAACGAGAACTATAGGGGAGACAGCATGCGTCTTGGTTGACCTGGGCTGTATCTTCCCAAATGGCTCAGCTCCCTGCATGGCAGATTTTTACAATCTAGTGTTTCTCAGCAAGAAACTGGCACAGCTTGTGCCAGTAGTCATGCTGTATTTGCCACCACTGAAGGGCCTTAGGCAGGATCATGCACAATGAACTCAGTAAATTATTTTGTCCAACACAGCTTCTCTGTGTTTAATCTAGTAAAACCCAACATCAGACCCCTTCCATGTGTTCATAAGACACAGTGATAGAAAGAAAAAATATCAGATAACAAAATTCCTTTCACAGTGAACAGGAAAAGTTTCTTGGAGAATGCACAGCTGGAGGACCACACAGATCAACCTCATTTGCCAGAGTATAGCAATGATCTCATTTCAGTGCATGATGTAGTTAAAACAGGGAGGTCTAATTAAAGCTTGCTTTGGATGGTGAAATAGTATCAAGAGCAGGGAGAAGTGGAAGGACTGGCTTACTCTGTGGCTATCATCTTAACAGAGCTAGGAGACAGACTTCTCAGATTGTAAGTTAGTTCCTTTGGAAACATTACTTTCTATTTCCTTACAAATGGATAAGTAAGAGCTGTCAAGAGCCTGTGGGAACATCCAACTGGAGCATTTAGAAAAGGACACAACAATCACAAAGTGAGTAGTCAGGGCAAAGGGAACCAAATTAATTTCTATATTTGGTAACAGGACATCTAACTCCTGCATGTAAGTACGAATAGGTTCACTATGGGAGTCTGTAAATCTCACACGGAGCAAACACAGAATTTCCTATTGCTGCCATCAGCTGATGTGAGGTCTTTCACGAAGTCGTACTGTGCTTGGGCTTGTGCTTATGACAGAAGCTGCTGAGTGTGCCACTGACAGAATATAAAACTTTGTATTAAAACATCTAAAACATTGCTTTTGAGTGCTGAGGAAATAAAAGCCTCTGAAATGAGTATGTTGTTTTTCCCCATAACTAGGTAAAAAGGTGCTGCTAATAGTACACTGGGTGGGGTGTAGTATTTCTGTCATTTCCACCTACCCCCATTTTAAAGTTCCTTGTGTAAGCAAGGGTCTAGAGTTCATATTGATTGCTCTTATCAGATGGAGAAGGAATTTTCCTCAATGGCTTTAGATCTCCTTGTGAACAGACATGTGGAAAACACAGCTGGTAGCCAGCGCAGGTCTAATAATTTGAAATAATTGTAAAACTACCAGATGGTGAATATCTGCATTTGTAGGCGTTTTAGCAGTTCTTCATGCTGGTTTCTATGATTTATCTCATCACCTGAATTCTTCCTCACCTTCTTGCCTAGTTTTTTCTTATAGCTAATCTCAGAAATTTTGAATATCCAGTATTGGTGCAATTCTGTGTCCACAGAAACCAGCAAAAGGAATCTTGATGTTTACTAATGTTAGTGAACCAGGACCTTGCCAAGACTGCCTTACTACACATAAACAGGGGAGGGACTGAAGGGTGCCCGCTACCTCACTCACTGTGTTGGAAAACAGTGTTCAGCCAGACTGCCATCAGGCCGTATCTCCAGGTCTGACTCCTAGTCTCCAGGTGAAGCTTCAGGGACTCAACATCAAAGCTATATCCCAGGGCAGGTAGTCAGTTTAATTTTGCGTGGTAAAATAGCATGAATTTCTAAACACTTCCAGCCAAATTTTCAATGGAGGTATAAATCAGCTGGTAGACTGTTACTGTGAGTGCTGGGGGATTTATTTGTGTGCCTCAGTTGCAGCAGCAGCAAACCTGAATTTGAAAGTCCCAGCTGAGCTCCATCCTTTACAGTGGTGCTTTAAACACATCTGTCTAATTCTGCAGTCCTCAATCACCCAGAAGACTCCTTTGTAACATAAATGATTTCCAGGTTTCAGTTTCCCACTGAGGATATTATTTCAGATTATATTTCCCCAAGTATGTTAGTATGCATTTTCCAAGCTGAATCCTGTTTTATTTTCGGCCCACGTTTCAAATGCCTGTGTGTTATTTCTCTGTCATCTTTCATTTGCAGTTCTTCATCTTATGTGTATATTTTCTTAAACTTTAGTTTATATATAAATGGATTTAAAACATTACTGCACACCTTTCCAAGTTTAGCATGTTCTTGGCTAACACTCCTTTCTGTTTGTAGGCACAGAATCAAAGAAGATAAATTTACAAGAGACCTGAAGAGGTCTCCTGGTCTATTCTCTTGCTCTGCCATAACATCAGCACTATCTAAATTTTTCCCAGCAAACATTTGCCTGGTCTCTGCTTAAAAGTCTCCCAGATTAAAAATTCCATTGTATCTCTAGGCAATGTATTCTGTCCTGTTCTATTAAACCGACCTTACCAGTAGTTTAACTCTTCCCCGAAAGATCTGTAGTCACTGAATAATCACCACTTTGATCCTTCATCTCAACCAATTTTTGTGTCTTCTTTCAGGTTGACCTAAAATCCATGTCCCCTTAAAGATATGCTTCTGAGTAATTTTCAGTGAAGGTGAAAAAAGGAATATTAAGACTGTTAATATTCCTTAGACTGTTAAGGAACTGAAAGACTTAGACTGAAAGACTGTTAAGGAACAGTTTTGTTATGATATTTTTTTGTTTGTTTTCCAGGTTTGACTTGGGAGTAGTCTGTAACAAAAGAGGATTTCAGAAGAGTTCTCAAGGCAGCCCTTTGACTCACCATTTAAAGAAAGTTTAACATACAAAGGCATCTTAAGAAGCATTTTACACAAAATACACAGTGAAAGCAGATTCTAAGAAATCTCAGTTGTATTTGGCAATGTAGTGGTTGTAGGTCAGTCCTGGGAATTTTATGTTGAATCAGCAGTACACTGCTGATAAAGGGAGTCAGCCTGACAGGCACAGTGACTTCAGCCTGTAGCCCTCTGGACCAAATACCTTGTGGAAGACATAGTGGGATTTACGTTCATCAGGCTGTTCCTCCAGACCCCTCGTAGGGGGGGATGTGTTGGCTGATAAATTCATTATTATTGCCCTCATGCCCTTTCCATCCTGGTTGTTTGACTCCAGACCACTATGAAGAATGAGAAATATTTTGCAGCTATTGGTCACTGAGCACATTACTGTAACCATCTTTTTGCTTAATGTGACTCACTGAATAGCCATTGGTTGGTAGCAACTTCTGGTAACTATGGGCCCCAATTGGATCTCCTCCAGTCTCTCACAGACCAATTCAACACTGAGAGAGACAGAGAAATCTTTCCATCAACTTTAAAAAGCATTAGCTTGGGTTGTCTCCATAGACTTCACCTCTATCACAATATTCCGAGCCACATAGCTGTTACTTGAAATCTTTCAGAGTCTGTCACTTAGCCACTAGTAAAATTAAAGACTTCCTCTAAAAGTGCCTGAAAATTGTGTTTTAATTTAATCTTAATCCATAAATATTTCACACAGCAGTACTGCTAAAGACAGTCAGGCCACAGGCACATTAGCACAGATTAAAGATGACCCCTGGAGGACTAATAAATGCTGACATAATAGTTTGCTGGGGGTATGGTTGTACTGGGTCTTTAAAGAGAGATTCTACTGCCTGTAACCGAGTACCTTACAGGTTTAGATGGCTAAATGCTTTTTAGGAGTTCACAAACAGGGAGCTAGGGCTGGCAGAGAGCTGGTGAAGGACAGAATGGTATTAGCATTACTTCTCTTACTGGGATCAAGGGAAAGCCTTGCTTAGCCTGATCATCACTCTGTGTTTAAGGGCACTTGCAAATCTCTCTCTGGACAGTGTGAAAATGCATGCATCAGCTGATCTCAGAATGACCAGTGTCTGTGTTCAATTTCTCTTCTACCATTTGTTCACTCACTTTTCTCACTTTCTTCCTTTCAGTCTTTTCTGCTCCTCCACTTATTTCACCCATACCTTTTTTCACTCCCATCTGCACTCTTCGAGCAATCAATTTGGTTGTTTGTTAATAGCCTATTTATTTTTATGTTATTATTTCAGCTACAGCAGCACCAACAGGCCTGAACCAAGACTGAGCTCCCACTTTACAGTTTAAATGTATAGCAGGAGACAGTCCCCACCCTGAAAAGTTTATACTGTCAGTGGGCAAGGAAAAAGAAGCAAAATGAGTTTCCCAAGGTCCTACAGCAGGTCAGTGGCAGAGCAGAAATTAGTACTGAAGGTCAGCTTGGTCTCCTGAGTCTCAACCTAGTCCCTGTTATGTATTACTTT